TTAAGTATGAACTCGTAGTTTTTGAGCACTTGAAACACGCCCTCATTCTAATTTCCATTCATGGCTCACGTCCCTTTAAATTTTTGGAACCACCTTCACACTGCCCTTTCATTTAAGAAGTCTTCATCCATAAATTCACATACTAAACAAGCGGCCTCAGCTGCTCACAACTTCCCTTTCGAGCCATGGAGCAAAATTACAAGATTTTCTTTTTACCATCATTGTGAACAAAGGAAAGCTGAAGAATTACTGAGTCCAGATAGAGAACATGTTCTTTACCAAATGATTACTATTCAAAATTCAAACAGAAAGAAAATGGTCATTTTTACTGATTCATCCAATTAATTAATCCATCCTAAAAACCAAATATGTCCATATAAAATCAAATTATTATTTTCAGTAGTAAAATGATACTAATATCTTTACTTTTTTTAGGTATTACGCATCAAAATGAATTGGAGTTGTGAAAATGTACTGTGAAATATCTTAAATAACACGATGAATAATACATTACTTCCAATGGATAAATAAGTCTTTTCTTTTTTTTAATATTGGCTTTTAAACATTTTCCAACTTTTTTTAAAGCTTAAAATAGTAACATATCTAGACCAACGTGAACATAATAAGTTTGGAAAGAAATCTATTAGATTATAATTACAAAAGTGGAATATTATTAATATGTCAGTTGTGCTGTGTTTGAGAAAAGATGGAGGAAGAGAAAAACATTCTGAAAGATATTAAATAGTATAGACCAAAGCGAAAATGGGAAGATTGCGTTAAGGCTGATATGGCGGGGTTGGGTTTAGACAGCGACAGGTGAATAGAAGAATGTGGAGGACATTGATTAGTGGTATCGGCATTGAACCTTCGGGGTCTCTAAGCCCTTATTATTATAACTTATTATCAAATAGTACAGACATTTGAAAAAATTCCCAGAAGAGAGATAGTCAATGGAGGTGTACTATTGAAAAATGGATGGTAGAAGAAGAAAGGTCGGCCCAGAAACACTTTTAATGTTCAATTATAAGAATCTTTGATGAGACATCGTTTGTAAGAGGAATGTGTATGGAAGGAGGCCTTAGAACATCAGGTGAGAAAAAAAAGATGTTAAGATAAAATTTTCTCATTAAAAAATTCATTTATTTATTTATTTTATTTATTATTGAAAATGAGGTAGCTCAGTCGTAGAGCGCTCAGCTTCCACCAATGCTCAAGATCCCAGGTTAGAATTCTGGCTTATGGCAGTGTAAATTTGATTTTTTTTAAGTATTCCACTACAGAGATTTAACAGCAGTTATCAAATATTTCAGCCATGTTTAGTTTTTCTTTATGTTATCAGAAAATTATTCTATATTATAAATTGTTAATGGAAAAATTTATTATAATATAAATTATTTAATTTTTTCAGAGTAAATTTTCTTTTTGTTTCAATAAATAAATGTTTTTCTTTAATTAAATTATGTTGTATGGGTGAAACTATGATTTCATTCCCAAATCCATGAGACTAAAAATATACAATATTTTATTCAACCATTTAAATAAAATTTGTAACTTTTAATAAAATTTAAAAATTATAATAATAATAATAATAAAAGGCTTAGCGAACCCGAAGGTTCGATGCCGATACCACCAATCACTTATTACATACCTCCCTCCACTGTTCGCCGTCTAAACCTAGTCCCTTCAGATCGGCTTTAATGCAATCTTCCCACCTTCGCTTCAGTCTACCCCTCAGACGTTTACCATTCGGTACAGCAAATATTAACCTTTTAGGAATTCTCTCGTTACTAAGCCCAACAATTTTTTGATTTGCCGGGATGAAATCACCTCAATTATACTACCTGGATATAGTTCACGCAATTCGGCGTTGTGTAACCATCTGAACTATACGGTTATTTCATCCTTCTTCAGCTCGAATATTCTCTACAATACTTTATTTTCAAAAACCTTAAGGTGTTACTCATTCCTTAATGTAAGCGGCCACATTTCGCAACCATAAAGAACTGTAGGTGAGACAATGGTTTTATAGATTCTAATTTTTAAGTTGTGAGCTAAGTAGTTTTGTCACAGAAAAATAACAACCATTTCCCACCTTCAGTCTAACCTTAATCTCTTCTTCAATTTCGTTTTTTCTAGTTATCCTATAACCTAGATACCTAAACTTCTCTACCTGTCCGAATATATTACCATCTATAACGATATCACCAGTAATATTGCCATTTTTGCAGCTAACCATATATTTTGTCCTATCCGTGTTTATTTCGAGCCCTAGTTCTTTACTGGCATTCATTAACGTTGTCGTATATAGATTTATAGCTTCTACATCTTCGCTTAACAGAACCAGATCATCCGCATAGCCCAGCACGGGTGTTGTCCCACCCAGATCCAACCCTTTTTCGGTACACATTACGTTCCTGACGGCATGTTCTAATGTCAAATTGAACAGGACAGGCGAAAGGGAATCTCCCTGTTTTAAACCCGAACGAACCTCAAACTTTTTGGACAGATTATTACCAATTCTAATTTTATTGAGTGTTTCCGTCAAGCACATCCTGACTAGATTTACTAATATTTTTGGAATCTCCTGCTCGATTAGAATATTATACAGTTTCTGGTGGTCAACAGAACCATAAGCCTTTTTGAAATCGACATATAGCTGGTGAACAATACCGTTGTACCCTAATTTAATATTTGCCATAAAGAAAATATTTGATCAATAGTCGAACGATGGCGTCAAAATCCGCATTGGTAGTCTCCGATAATTTCTTCGGCGTATTTCGTGATTCTACTAGTTAAGATTAAAGTGAATATTTTATAACATACTGGAAGGAGTGAAATTCCTCGATAATAATTATAATCCGTCCTCGGGCCTTTTTTGTGAATCGGAATAAGAATAGATTCTATCCATTCCTCAGGTAATTTATCATTCTCCCAGATCTTTTAAACCAACCGATGTATTTTAGAAACTCCAGCTTTCCTGCATGCCTTAATTAGTTCAGTAGGAATATTATCGGTTCCCGCTGCTTTATAAGATTTTAATTTTTCGATAGCTTCAATTTTCTCTTTACTCGGTTCTTCTATCAACGGTTCAGAACTCTGGTACTCAGAAGGAGGACACAGATCATAATTTCCCGTATTTAAAATATTGTCAAAGTGGTTCTTGAACTTATTTAATATGTCAACCGGATCGGTCAGAATATTGTGATTTTAATCCCTAATTTCAGACATGATGGGTCTTAAACATTTACGTGATCTGTTTATACCTTTGTACATGTCTCTTACGTTATTTTCGATTCTATTAGTTTCTATTTCAATTATTTTATTTTTAAGATTCTCCCATTTTTTATTTTTGAGCAATTTTGTCATTTCATTCTTTGATGTTGGGAATTATTCCAGATTGTCTTGGTTAGGATTATTTAGAGCTTTTAATTTAGCAGCTTTTCTTTTTTCGCTCATGTTCGCTCATCTTCATCAAACCACGGTTTGCTATTCTTATTTTCCTTTTTTCCTAGAGACGAATATTATCTTTTTCGCTTTAATATTATCCCTGATCTCTACCTATAACTTGTCAACATCCTCGCGGTCCTCGTCAGAAAGTTCTAAAGCTTCAAACCTATTCTTAAAATCTAGCTCTAATTGGATTCTTAATGATGGATTTTTTAATTTTTCCAAATTGAAATTCTCAAAATCGAAACGGTTTTCTTTTCTCTTTTTTATATTAAGTTTTAGTCGAAGTTCTACTATTACTAATTCATGATCTGACCCACATTCTGCTCAGCAATAAGACCATACATTAATTAATTATACACCTCAAGAGCTGAGAAAAAAAATCTGATATAATTGTTTTTTACATAAGTTTCAATAAAATTTCCATACAACATTTATGTTATGATAGTGGATAATTGTTGACTGTAAAAGATATATTGAAGAGTAGTCGGTTGGTGTTTTCAGTTTATGAAGATACAAAATAAAAATAAATAAATTATAGTTATTTTTATTTCCTTTGAGCTGACATTTTGGCCTATGTTTCAGGCCATCATCAGAGCTAAGCAAAGACGAGATATTAATACTGAGAAAATATGTAGCTAATATATTATAGTCAAATAGTATGAAGGTAGTTAAACTTAACATTAAAAATTATGTGGAATAGCAAATATATGATGTATATAAATTAAGGAACCATAAAGTAACGGTAATCAATATGAGACTTAGAAAATAGGGATAGCAAAGAACACTAGTTCAGCTTTCCAACAGTTGGACAAATGCTGAATTTGGAGAAAATCTGAAGAAATTATGAATGATGGAGTTAAAAGCAGGAAAAACTATACCATTAAGTCAAGTACTATTATTTGCAAATTTGATATCTATGAAAATTCTTATTTATAAGTTTTAAGGAATATTACAAACGAATGTAACCTTCTTCTTCATTACAAAAATATACATAACTTGCTTTACTGGAAGCATCTTTTGGATTTAGTAGTGTAAGATAGTTTATAGCTCATTTAACACCATAATCAATATTATTTCCTATTCTTCACAAAAAAATAAATCTATTGGTATATAATAACCCCAAAATCCGGACTAAGTAAAGGTAAAAATTAATTACATAAATTTTGTTTGAAATTATATACATTTTATTTTTTATTACAGCTCCTAGTGCGCATTTACAAGAACCCTCAGACATTGATCTGATATTTTTCGACCTAGTATCACTAAAAAAAGTTTCATAGAAATGAGTGACCCCACATCTGTAACTTCCCTGTGTAAGAGAGTAACTTTATGATGAAGAAAAAGAAAAACCAAGATTTCTGACCAGTTTAGTAATAATAAAATTTCTAACTGATTGTATAGATTGACATGCCTGATGCTTTCAGACATTTGCAAAAGAATTCTCCTTTAATAGTAATAAAGAACATATATGAAACATGATTAGCCAGCTATTAATAGATATAAGATGGTCAGAGTGGCTAGCAAAAACAAATAAAAATAGAGGTACTTACATTGAGTCAATGAAAATATTAAATCCACTTCATGTGCAAGATCTTCATTCAATTTCACAGGACTTCTAACCCACCTAAATAATTCACTAAGTTTTGTTTTTGGTGGCGGCAAGGTGACAGAATCCTAAAAATGGAAGTTCTGATTGTAAGGTTTTAATAAGAAATGAATCTGCAGCTACTTATCTACCACAATATAAATAATCACAACTTTCTTTAATAGTTTAGTTAAAATATATACCTTAGGTAAATTAAGAGATTTAAAATAGCTCAGCGCTTCCTTAACTGAAATAAATTTTGAAAAAATCTCATCACATATCTCTTCCTTGATATCAGAAGGCACCTTAGAGGAGTCTGATTGTTCCCTGCCAAGAATTTAAAAAAAAATTAATATAACTTTTTTTTAATTTTTCAGTCATACTTATAAATAATTTTTAAAACACCTACATGACTCAAGTTATGATTTTTTGTAATTAACACAAGTTTATTTAATCTCTAAGATAATTCAGTGGACCAATATTTATCACAGTAATTATCACAGTTGATTTTATTGCACGAAGGTCTCTCTTTCGTTTCATCATTACTCTGTAAACATAGAACATTTGCTTTAAATTTGAAAAATTCGAATTACTTGAAAAAGCTGAAATATGTCCAACAAATCCATTACTTCTACAACGAACGCATTCGGTGATAACTTTTGATAAAATCATATTTGAATAACACCGCCAAAGAGAAACAACTGACCATTCACAAAATTTGAAGATGAAGTGGGTATTTAATATAGAATGTGCTCAAGGAAATTTGTTTGAAAATAAAGAATATTAGTATTTATTTTAAGTTATCAGAAGAAACAGTTTAATTTAGGGTTGTCAGATTTTCAAACCCCAAAGTGAGACAGCAATAAATCAGGAAATGTCGACATACGAAATTTTTAACATAAAAATTAATAAATTGTATTATAAAAAACGTTTTAAATTTCATTTCACAAAATGTAAACACTGGGGATTAATTCTAATAACATAAATCTATATTACGCATAGGCTGATTAATTATTCCTGCATTGAAAGATTAATCTGAGAAATAAGCAAATATATATTTTTGGTCATTCTTGGCACATTTTAACAGAGTACATCTCTTTTAATATTATCGAAAAATGTTATATAATATTTTTAGAATTCACAATAATTACTAGTTCTGTTTTATTTTGGTTTAAAATACACCTATTCCTCTCTTAACAATTTTGGTATTAATGAATCTTCGCTGTAATCGAATGTTCAATTCTAGATTTTTTTTTCTTTCCTATAGAACACTCTAATTGGTTTTTCGAACACCACCAGAACACGATTTTAGTTTCTGTAACCATGTGTATTCTTTACCCCAACCTTCAATAAAATTATTTAATCATCTCTATGGATTCTTAAGAAAGTTACTTTAGAACTCCCAGATGAGCGTTTAGTTGTTATCAGAAACTATATCATCGGAACAGCGTATTGCAGAATTTAGTATAGAATAAAATAATTTTAAATATTAAAAGCACTGCCAATGAAAGTAAGATTTTTGCTAACTGATTTTATTAATATTTGAATTTGTATTTCATTCAAAATACCTCTAATATATTTGCTTTGTTAATAGGTTAAATTAATTATTCTTATACACTTTATCTATTTTTTTTATTTCCTAAGTGGTAGGCGTCCCCCTCTAGGCTGAGGCCCCCGAGCAAACGTGCCGGGTTGCCTTGCCCTAAAGTCGGGATTGATTATTTTCAAAACTAAACCTTTGTAATTGATCAAAATAAAAATAAAATCTTCCTAAAAAGTTTTATGTTTCAAAATTAGTGAATTGAAATTAAGGATTTTTTTAAGAATCTCCAAGAAGAATATCTTGCCTCTTTCTATGTGTGTGTTTGTGTTTTCTCTACCTCTCTCCTTCATTATTTATTACACATTAACTGAAGAATTATAATCAGTCAATATCCTGCAGTACATTAGTTGGTTACTTAAAAGTCACCAGGAGATAAAGGGTAAGTGAGTTCATGATGATAAAGTAAGATTAAGTCAAATTTTTTTCGGCTATGTCTTTCCTTAGGGAGTTTTCATACTTTCCGATAAATTTGAAGTCGGACTGACATTCAAGATCCGATTTCATAATTATTGGACCACGTAAAAAGAATAAAGGCTGTCTATGCAATAAAATCGATGTCAGATCCGACCCAGATATTTATCGTACATGTGAAAACGTTCTTTAGGAGATCAAGAAATATGAAGCTCTATTACTTAATGAGAGCCATATTCAACATTATTTTCACTGTTAACTGAAAATTTTAAGGGAGTATTATTTTATTATTATTTTTTAAAATAAATAAATAAAGTATTAAAGTTTCACTGGAAGTGGAATTAATTGCAATCAATCCGCGTATAGGAATTCAAAGTACATATGAATTCCACGAATCATATGTTATCGAAATACTTCTCTAGTTCATGAAATTAACGTGGGGTAAAAGATAATACTTACATATTTATATATGTAATCCACAAGTCTAAAATGGAAGATACTCCCAAAAAACCTGGTAATTTGACAAATAAAGATTTCAGAGAATTAATAAACGGTCACATACCAATTAAAAGAGAGCAGACTGAGCCAATTACGAGAGATGCGGAAGTAAAAAAAGAGAAAAAACAAAAAAAAACAAAATCGAAGAAATATGAGACACGAAAAAGAGATGATTCTTTGGAACTGCTATTGTCTAGATACAGAGACAGGGCACGAGAAAGAAGAGAAGGAAAAAATCCGGATTATTTATGTGTATCTGACAATGTTATAGATCCTGTAGCTTACCATACTGTTGGGCCTGACGCCAAGTATAACATCATACTGGCTGAAAAGAGAAAGCAATTAATCCACGAGTCCAAATATCTTGGTGGCGATATGGCTCACACGCATCTCGTAAAGGGACTCGACTTTGCACTTCTAAATAAAGTTCGTAGCGAAATTGAAGCGAAAACTAAAGAGGAGCCAGTTGAAACGGTAGTAGAAGAAGATGTGGGATTTAAATGTCAAATGGCCAAGAACATTCATGAAATTTTGTTTAAATCCAAGCCGGCGGAAATAAATCCCCTGTTTGCTCCTGGAAAAATGTGTTATTTGGTAGACCTTATAGAAGAAGAACAGATGGATACAGATGTTCCGACTACCGTTATACGAAGTCGAGTTTTGACGACTGATGATGGAAAAAGGATGATTACAACGGATGCTATAATTGATAAAATCAGGGAAGTGATGCATGGTGCAACAGATGAATGGAAGCACAAGAAACTAAAGAAGATAGAACCTCCACTCGAGCATATTGAACAAAAGAAAGAGGTATATATCAATTTAGAATATTTTGAACTGATAATACCATGCTATAGTAATAGTAAATAATGGTGAACATATACATTATAATAGCATTCACACGATTATTAGTTCATTGTAAAACTATAGCTTATACTTTACATTTAAATTTTCTTATATAATGTATTTGGAAATGTAAAACAGGTTTATAGATTTAAATTTAATATTAAAACACATAAATCGTAGTTTTTAATAATTATGAAGACACGTTAAAGTGAATAACAATTGACATTTTATTTCGATAGTCAACTTAAAATTTAAATCACCTGAACTAGCTATTAATAGAAAACGGAATTTAACACTGCTTTTGAAAAAATCCTATCTTAGTTTGTCATCTGGATGTATTGCAAGAGCTTTTTCATACGCTTTCAAATCACTGAATGGCCGAATCCTTTTTCAAACGGAGGAACAACATAAATTAATTTAAGTTTTCATTTATTCGAGTTAATTTTTAAACAAGGTAGGTTTTTTTTTTTAATTTATTTATCTTCAAGTTGTTTTATTTATATTTATTGAATATAGTTTTACATTATTATTTAGTAATTATTTTGCTTCTGTTAATTTTACCTTTTCTGTATATATGGTATGAATATGGTCTAATCTGAGTATAACATACGTTACGGGATATTATATTACTCAATAAATAAATAATATAAAAAAAATAAAATAAACTAAAATTTCAAACCAAGTTACAGTAGAGGAAATATAATTTCTTAAGAAGAAAATAGGCAGTACTGAGTTAAGCCTACCTTACACGGTCAATATTATTGAATCAATAATATTGAGGCAATATTCTTGAGAGTTGTATAGATAAAACAAATGTCAGTATAATTGTTACAATATATCCCTCAGACGGTCAATATATTCGGTATTGACTCAATAATATTGGCCGTGTAAGGTGGGCTGAAGAAGTACTGAGACAATTAATCTTAATGAGTTTTAGTTCTAAAGACTTTTTTAACGTTCAGAACTGCCTAAAATTTTACATATAAGTATTTCTGAATTGAAATCATCCACAATGACTAAACCAATGAAACCCTTTGAAAATTCCTTATTGTGGTGATATTTATTGTTATGTGCACCCATGCCAATCTCAGATATTATTCCACAATTTTATGTTCTACTTTTAATGGCATTTTAATCCGGATGAATTGGTACCTCTGTAATGGTTCAACATATTTATCAACAACCTCCAATTTACGATTGAGAATACATCATTACCTCATGTCTGTATTAAAAACAATCAATATCAGAAAATTATGAGAAAAAAACGATAATTTTTTTTGACATTATTGATTTATAAATATATCATCAGCCATTATTTCTTTCTTAATATTTTAGTATAAGCTGTATAGATATAAAACGAATTCAAGGTGTTTTTTTAATGTTTGTAGGAAAAACAACCCAAGTTTTCAAACATGGAAAAAGTTCGAGTTTCAAAGACAGAAACCATGCTGAAGAAGCTGCTTGCTGAACCGACCGGATATGCAGAGTGCTACCCCGGCGCGGATGCAATGCTGGAGGCGGCGGACGACAGCGATTGCGAAGACATGACGCCGCCGGAGGAGTACGGGCCCAGGGCTGCCTTCCAGTTCGGTCTCAAGAAGGCTGCTGGCAGAAAGAAAGGCCAGAAGGCTAGTGTGGATCGAGAGTTGAGTCGCATCAGGAACCGACTCCAACTTAAATGAGTCTAAATTGTTATTTAGCTTTGTTACATGCTCTGCGCTCTTGAAGGACCAAGAAATATGTCGAAGAATACAGACTCCTTGATCAGCCATGAAAATGGTTGTTTAACTGTTTGTTTTTTTTTCTTAATTTTTATATTTATACGACTTAGTTTTTATAGTCTTCTGAACGACTTAGTTCGCTTAGTCTTCGATTTAATTCAATTGTATATTGAATATGAGTCTCCGGCATCCATTTTAATACCAATGAAAGGATTTGTGGTTAAATTCTGTTTGTCGAAGACATTTTTCGACGCTTGAGCAGGCTACATTCAGCTGTCCATGTGTGTAGCACAGACCTTTCGAAAATTTTCGAAAGACGAGTGTAATGAGTGCATTTGTGTTATGCTCGATGGTAATTCCAAATGAGAGGCGCAGAAAATTACACCGAAAATTAGAACAACTTTGCATTAATTATAAAAAACATTTTTCGTTAAATGTGTACGTGTAAGGAATGGACTAGAGATTGTATCTTGGTATATATCGATCAAGTACAATTTTCAAAAACCGAAAACTGAATGTGTTTGCGTTGATTACTTTTTGCTACCATCTCAAAAATGTTGGAGATTTAGGTATGTTACCTCTACATACTTCAGAGATATTACTGTCATTTTTACTCACACTTACCTATATATGTGATATATATAGTAAGGGAAAGTATTGCGATCATGGAAATTTTTAAATCTGAGTTTTCAACGGAAATACATGTTTTGAGGTCTTCTGTGTCAAAATAGCCAAGTCCCGCAAAATAATGTGGGCTGGGTGACCGAATGCTAACGCGTGTGCAGAGCACCACCGTTACCCGGCAACCTGATATATGACAAATATTATAAAAATAGTCATGAGTTCGCGTCTCGGTATCAAAGCGTCTTTTAAATCCTCGCCCAAACCCGCTGGTCCGGGAAAACCCCGCATAGCCTTAACAGCGAGGAACTCCCGCAAAATGGTCTGTGAGTCCGTGTGTCTGTGTGTATGTTATCAGTCTAGGTCATAAATGAAAAGTCATACGAAAGTGAAATTGCATATTTGAGGTTTGCATATTCCTGAGATGTAACAGCAACTTTTTTTTTTTCAAAATCGGATAATCTGAAATGATACTTTACAGAATCGATTAAAAACATTTTTAAGATTTTTTCAAAATGGCTCCAACGATTTTGATTAAACTTAGTGTATGGATTTATAATTAACTGGTTTTTAATATCATTTAGATCTTATCCCTATTGATGTCTCTTTACAGGACTTAAATGCCCAATGTTCAACATGTCTTCCTCTAAAGTACCTTTAATTTGGTGTATTTTAAATAATTAACTATTTCTCATCGATATAAATAATAAAAAAAGGCTAAATATAAGTTATTAAAGAATTTGATTATTGAATAAAGGAGGAAACAGGAAAAATAATTATTTAACTCGAAAAAGAATATTAGGAAATAATAGTCAGAAGGTATACGTAATAATATACCGTTGCAAAGCGGAGAATTTTAGAAAAAAAAAATATCTGATACAGAAAGTCGTAGAAAGTAATGGAGGGTGAATAAACAAATATAAATAATAATTTCTGAAGACTAAGACCACGTATTTTCAAAGAAATTAAATGAAATTTATTAAAGAAATGTAAACTTTTAAAAGTTTAAAAACAATATTTACAATCCACCTAATCTAGGCAATAATGATATTGTTAAATAAAAACTATTTAATTGTATTAGTATGAAAGAAGTAAAATATAAAATCATTTCATGGATGTATAAAACATGTTTATAACCTTAAATGCATTTACTGTAGTTTAATATTTCTAGATATTATATTTAAATAATTAGGTATCAACGTCCGTTTATTCTGAAAAATCGTAATGTAAACTTTTAGAAAATGAAATTATAGAATAATTTAATGCATTTCCACTTTGGGAAATCCCAACATTATCCACTTAAAATTAGTGTGACAACTTTTGACCTATCTATGACAGGTAATGAAAATCTCCTAATTTCATTTTAGTAAACTTTGCGATGGAAAATAACGTTTAATAACTAATAGGCGTAAAATCCGTAACCAGTTATAAGCTGAATATACAGATCAGTGGCGGATCCAGGAATTTTTCCAGGGGGAGAGCGCACCTTCCCCCACCCCTACTCGTTCCCCACCACTACCCATCTCCCCCCACTCCTTAGCGGAGTTTCGCCGCTCAAAAGTCCTCTTTAAATGGTTTTAACAAAAGCAAACTCTATTTTTATTTAAAGTAAATTTTATCTAATTTACTGTGAAGTAATCTTTAATTACTTAAATTAAATAGTTTTTTAATTACCACTTTCTTTTCAATAGAAAACGTGACTTGCTTAAAAAGGCACAGAACTTAATTTCCTACTTTTCAGCTGAAAATCGAACTTTTCAACTATCACTTCACATTCAAACTATCACTCCTTTAAATATTTATACAGGACACCCTGTGTATGGCTTTAAACATGTAAACAAAAATTGCAGGGGTCACCGAGGGAAAGCCATAAAATCCAGATTCATCTGATTTCTTTTTTCGTATTACAATTAAACATGCATCAAAGCGAAAAACATATTCTTTAAGAAATTAAAGAACGTCAAATTGTTAGTCGAACCTAAACTTAATAATTTGATTAAGTAATATGGTCGATAACTACGGTCAATGAACGCTAATTTTTACCATCAATGTTAAAATTTGAGACAGATTACTGTAAATGGAATCCCTGCAGCTTGGAAATGACTTTTCTAAAAAAGAAAACTCAGAATAATATCCGATTGAGATCAAAATCAGATTCCGATCAAATCGAAGACCAAACAATTAGTATCTGCTTTCAAGAAAACGTTTCCAACAGTAGTTTCTTTAAAGAAAGAACAAAACTTTCTAATGAGAAATATACAAATTATTATCATGACTATTTTTATGAATCCCACGGATACTTCAAGGAGGCAATAGTTGCTGGAGGTTGCAATGCGTCCAGATCTATTGGAACTGGATAAAAACTGAGTCCGTCAGGAAACTGTATTTTCTTGGGTTTGAATAAAAGCTTGTTCAAAAGAATAAATAAAGTATTTTTTATTAATTAATTTTCCTCCATCATGTATTCCACCTGTTAGACCCAGTTCGGAGTGAGTAGGAACAAACTACGACTGGAGCACAAGCCCAGTTCATACTTCCTGGTGACCCAAAACATCATTTCAATCTACGAGCCAACATTTGCTCGTACATTTTCTTCTTGGTTTCACAAAATCTCGCCGTGTGCCACAGCCTGGTGAGGTGACGTAATAAGACAAACCGTAAGATTAATAAAAATGGTCATGACGATAATTGTTTGTTAATATTACATTAGAAAGTTCGTATATGAGAATGAATTTTCCCTATATTTCTTTTTTTCTTAAATATATGTTTTTGGAACTTTTTTCGGAATCTTTTTTCACCATCCAAGGAAGAGCGTGACCCCTGGCAGAATTCGCTAGTAATGGTCACGATATATATATTTTTTCTATTATATTAGGACATTCGCCTAAGAGGATGGATTTTCCCAATATTTCTCTTTTCTTTAAATAGTTGTTTTTAGAAATTTTTTCGTAATTTTTTTCCACCATCCAACGGAGGGCGCGCCCCTTGGCAGAATTCACTAGTGCTAGTCAAGATAATAAATTTTTTCTATTACATTAGGAAATTGGCCTATGAGGATGAATTTTCGCCTCATTTCTCCTTTCTTTAAATAGATGTTTTATGGAACTTTTTTCCATCGTCCAAGAGAGGACCCGTGGCAGAATTCGCTAGTGATGGTCACGATAATTTTTTTTCCATTACATCAGGAATTCGTCGATGAGGATGAATTCTGCCTCTATTTCTTTTTTCTTTAAATAGCTCCTTTTAGGAACTCTTTCGGAATTTTTTCCTTCATCCAAGGGAGGGCGCGCCCCTGGCAGAATTCGCTAGAGCTGGTCACTATAATAACTTTTTTTTATATTACATTAGGAAATTAGCCTATGAGAATAAATTTTCCCTAAATTCTCTTTTCTTTAAATATGTGTTTTTGTAAAAAAAATGTCCACCATCCATGGGCAGAATTTCCTAGTGTTGGTCAGGATAATTTTTTTTTCTTTTACATTAGGAATTCATCTATGAGGATGAACTTCACTACATTACTCGTTTCTTTCAATAGATTTTTTGTTACTTGTTTGGATTTATTTCCAGCTTCCAGGGGGGGGGGAGGAGGGGGCGCTCGCTCCCCGCGCTCGATCCGCTAGTGATACAGATACACTTTCAAATCTCTCCAGGCATGCGCACAGATATATAGCTGGAATTGTATGATTTACAAAAACAAATGGAGTACTGAGGTTTTCATTGCCTATCGTTGTAATTATTAGGGTTTTTGATATTATAATGGTCTTAATGATTTGTTAGCTGTAACCTTTAAGATGTAGCTTCGTTAAAAATGTACTTCAAAGATTTTATAATAGCCCAACTTTGCCAGAAAATAATTTCTATTCAAAGTAGAGCGGTAAGTGAAAGTTTTGTGTTGCGCGCACCTGATTTTTTTCGAGTCTATCTTTATCCTCCTGATAGTAATATAGGTAATTGATACCTATAATTGATTCTGTTAATAAACTTATACAATACATTAATTTAAGTAAGATATCTGAAAATTGGAATGTATTATAGCACCTCGGGCCTTCTGATTTAAAACTGAATAAAACTATTTTGGTTAGAAAAACTATCATTAGTATTTTTAATTTCTTTACTAGCAAATTAAAAATATTAATGACAGTTTTTCTAACCAAAATAGTTTTATTCTGTTTTACATCAGAAGCCCCAAGGTGCTATAATACATTTCGATTTTCAGATATCTTTCTTACATTAAGTTTCTCAGGATTTTTTTATGCCTTTTCCGACCGCTGTGCGCCGTCCTTATCCTTTGCTAATACCACGGGCGGATCTACGGAGGGGGGGAGGGCTTTCGGGCTGAAGCCCCCCCCAAACTGGAAAAATATAACCATGTTTTATCGAATAAAATATTTAAAAAGTATCTCTTAAAGTATTATTATTCTTGTAATTACATTTAAAAAGGCTTTAGGAATACTTTAAACACCATTTCATACAGGTAGTTAGTTTCTTTATTTTTTTCCAAAGTAATTATCGTTATTTTTATGAAAAAAAAATTTTCGGGCTGAAGCCCTCCCCCCAAAAATAAATCCTGGATCCGCTAGTGGCTAATACTGTTCCGATTTTTATGATTTTTAAATTATATTTTGTAGGAAAACCAACACCAATTTATAATCTTTGGCTACGTCCCATTTTGTTTTCTTGAAAACGTTATTTAATGCTTATTCTCGGAGATGTACTATGTTAGAAAATGTCAATGGCTCCAATGAATGAAGTTTCTTTTTCTTTTACAAGGGCATTGGTATAATGATTCTATAATACTTATTATGTTTGTTCTACCTTTATAAATGGCACGAGATATGGAAGTTTGAAATCTTCAATCAGCTGATATCCTCAAACGAAATGGTAGATTGTAATGGCAAGTTCCTAAGATCACTGCAGTGTCCCTTTGAACTTGATACCAACCCTAAAAAAATCAATTGAGGTCGTTTAATATTTTTTCCTGGCCGATTACTAAGGCTCATTGTTGAAAGCAACAATCCAACTACAGACCATTGGTAAATATTACTGATTATTGTAAAAGATTAGCAATAAATTTAAGATTAATTTTATAAATTTGAGGATCCGTTACTCTTCTGAGTAAACATTTCGCTTGATCCATCCCTATTTATAGTTCTAATAGTATATCCGTCATAATTATAAAGACCAGAACAGTAGGGAACCAAGGATTTAATTTGGGGGGGGGCGGGAGGGGGGTCAGTCGACTTATATATATATAACAATAAATACTTAGAAGAAGAAAAAGAAAGGAACTAATTTTAAGTCTAAGACGTGATTGTATTTAGTAGATGTACTCATCTATGCATTATTATTGTTTAAGTATGTAGCTTAGTTCACTCTCAGTAACAAATATAGACCAATGATATAAAAAATTTCCATTTTGGGGAAGGCTTCAGCCCAAGAGCTCCTCCCCCATGTAGATCCGCCTGTGAACAAGTAAATGCTGCCATATATTTTTTTTTTTGGCTAAATAGTTAGGCCAGCCCCAGTTGATTGTTAGTTTTGTAATTGGCAGATGGGGTTAATTTGAAATACACTTAATGATCACTAATTTCCAATAAACTTTATATGAAGTAAATAACACATCTTGATTTGAAATAACAAATAGCATAAATTTTATTTCTCTCCCACTTTGCCCATAATTAACAATTAAAGCCTTTGTATTTGACCGTTTCAGGGATGCTTTGTTTCTCACATCGACCAAACTTAGTTTAAGTAGTGTTCTAGTTTGACTTACCTAAAAATACTGGAACATATTACATGCTGAAGTGGGAGACAGATCATACCGAAAAATTGAAATTTAAAGACATTAAACTATTTAACACTATTAGGTTTTTTAATTATGACATGTGAGCAAAGTTGGAAGAGGAATAAAATACAATGAAAGGGTGGTCTTTAATTTCAATTTACTTGCATGGATTAGCAAACTAATTGAATAGATTATAAAATATCAAGAATATTTTCTGTAACAATATATTACTGGAAACTGCTAATAAACTCCATTCATCTCGGCTTCCAAGAGATATTGCCCATTCCTTGGAATGCTCTTTTCATCCGTCCAGTCTCTGCCCAGGGTGTATCTTCGTACTCGTGCTGGTTCTCTTCGAGTCTCTTCATTTCTTCTTCACGTTGCTTTGCCTGCCACATCAGTCTTTTCTTATCCTCCTCGGTGCAGATGGGTTCTCTTGCAGGTGCTCCGTGTCCACTTTTTGAGATCTTGACAGTGATCTTTGTTTTTTCATTAGGACCAACGTAATCTTTGAGTTTTTTTCCTCTCAGCATTTCTTTCCCTGAGAACCAGAGGCAAGCGTGAGACTCTTCAATGACTTCTAATGAACCGTGGGTTCCCGACAAGTCTTCTTTCTCTTCGAACTCGAGGCGGATGGGATCATGTGGCGGTAAACCCATCGGGTAAACGATTGTGACGGCTCCTCTCAATATAGCCAGTGCCTCTTTGATCATCTTTTTTTCCAATATCTTGTTGTCATTTACTAGCTTCTTGGACAGCATCGCCCTCGCTTCCTCGACTGTATTCGTCAGGACTTTGGCCATGTGTTCGTTCGGTCTCTTGCCATTCCTTCTTCCTACAGGGTCCTTCTCGAGCGTGTAGCCTCCACTCGGTTCACATATATCTCCCCATTCGTCTTTTAGGCCGAGGTCTTTAACTTGTTCCTCATAAAGCCCCATTATATCAGGTGGGAACTGAGTTCCATGCTTGGCTAGTCCTTCTATTTCGTAACATATCCGGCTCACCTTCAGCCTTCCATTGTAGAGTGCTGTCACTCCGGCTATAACAGTGTCGATATCTTCTTCCACACTGACGCTGTACAAAAACTGACTCTCATCTGCTTTTTTCACATGTAATATCACCATATTAAATATAATTGTCTTGATTTCGTAAAACTATTGAAGAAATACAACCGATTCTGAATTAAGCTGGATAGACTCTGAAGTGAGGTTATTGATCAAACGGGTTTCCATAGATACACATTGCTTAGAAATAATTCTTTAGGTACTGTTGCTTCATTAGCATATGTTAAATATGGCATTTTAACTATTAATAATCTATCTTAATTGTAAAAAAACAACACTTAAATTGTACTTGTTTATTACAAATAAGCCCCGCCAAGAATATACCATGTAATTTATAAAAATTAAAAATGATAAGTAAAAACTTGTTTTAATTTTTTTACATATAAGTAATACATTTAAAGTTTATTACTTTATAAAAAAAAGTATGATTACGATGTCATATTGCTATTATTAGTTCAAAAGGTCGTATGTAAAAATGTAAAAATCGTTTCCTCAGACAATACCTATTAATCTCTTAAAAAACTAGTTAAATTATACCTTTCCATCTCATTCATATTTTGAAGACAAGTTAGGTCGTACATTCTCTTATTACTGAAAGGTATAGTAAGATTGTAATTATTTTTTTTTACTATCCAACGATCTAGTACAATAATGAATGTTCTTCAGTGCCTTCCCCCCCCCTCCAATTTTAGACATTTTATGACACTCTCAATCTACAACGTTCACCTAAACAGAAAACTGTTCCACGTTTTAGTTTGTAAATTTTTATGTGCACATGTGTGCGACCTAAATTTTGTTTCTTTGTGCCTAGTGACATGTTACATTAGCAAATATGTGGAACTCAATCGTCCATTTAAAAGCAGTGATAATAAGTAATTGTGTTTGAAGAGGAAAACTCTTGTTTTCGGAAAAATGATTAACTGAATCACCCAGGACAGAAAAAGATGTGTTTTACGACTAGTCTAAGAAGAAAACGTTTAATCGACTGAGAATGCAAATAAAAAAAACAATTTTAGGGAAATTAATCAGAGTATTGAGAGAAAATTAGCCACTCCAAGGTATATTTTTGTTATCATTAATAAGAGACTGATTATTAGCGATAAGGCGCTGAAAAGATTATATAGTAAACCTAACTCAGATTAGTTGGTAATATTGAAATATCTTACTCCTGTTATCCATCAACCTTTTTTTTGGTTTATTATATTCAATAATGAATCATTGAAATCGTCCAAAAATAAAAAAACATTTAACTCACTTTCTCAAAATTTGAGGTTTTAAGTTTCATGATACATTCATTCATTCATTACTGGCACAACAGACGCATGTAGCGGTTCATGGCCTGCTCAATTTCCTTTGCCCAGTCATCCCTGTTGGCTGAGCACCTGATGGATATCCCGTTTTTTCTCAAGTCTTCTTTCACATTGTCTGTCCATCTTGCCTTCGCTCTTCCCCTAGACCTAACTCGCGCTCTGGCTTCCCATGAGAAAGCCTTCTCGCTGTCCTTGCTGCATCCATTCTTAGGACATGATCTAACCATTTCATTCGTAGCACTCGAGCGAATTGGGAGATAGACAGATCACCGTACATTGAGTACCTTGTTTGTTCTCAAGCGGAGAACTCCTTCCTCCAGTTTAGGCCCTATTATCCGTAATCGGTAATCCATGGAATTCGAAAATCGGATAAAATGTGTTTGTCCGGGAAAACTGGACCGACTTTCTTCAAATTTGGCATCAAAGTCAGAGATCAACTAACGTCGGATATTAGTTCCTCCTACCTCGAAATTAATATCCGACATTTCCCTCCAAGATGGCGGTCGAAAAGCCTTTGTTGGTTATACTGTAGCGCTGATTGTACTGTAGCGCCTAAACGAATGTACCAATTTCAATTAAACTGGCTATTGGCTTCTCCTTGTTGAAATTGAAATATATATATATATATATATATTTATATATTTATAACGAACTTAAAAGAAAAGAAGCTAGAAAAAAAAGTTATGAGGTATGGTAAAATTACATTTCCTTATAACTCAAGAAGTATACACTTCTTTGTCAATGTTGTATATGGGTATTTAAAAGTTTACGAATTTTACTAAAAAAAAAAAAAAAAGAAATCTTTGAAATCGGACATCTATTTTTCTAGCAAATTATCATTGATAAAAAAGAAAATTATATAGGCCAATTTTAGAAATCCCTTTTTATTTCTTTTCCTTAATGTTACAAGGAAAGTTAAGTTAATTTTGAAGTTAAATTGTTGGGAAATAATAAACCTTTGTATACGGGCGGATCTACGGGGGCTTTGGAGCTGAAGCCCTCTCCAAAAATGGTAAAACATGTTTTATGGAAAAAAAATATTAAAAAATAATCTCTTAAAGTATTATTGTTCGTGTAATTACATTTAAAATGACTTTAGGAATCACTTAAACACCATTTCATATAGATAGTTCGTTGCTTTCTTTTGTTCCAAAGTAATTATCGTTATTTTTATGAAAAAAAAAGATTTTGGGCTGAAGCTCCTCCCAAAATTAAATCCTGGATCCGTTAGTGCCTTCCTGTAATAATTTGTAAATTTTTTTAAGGCTGGTCATTGAAATTTAAACTCCTATCACTTTAACCGTAGAACGTATATTAATATCACCTGATATTATAAAAATAGATAATTTCATCTTATTATTGAACGGAAACAAAAAAAATCATGCGTTAAAGGCCACCACGCGAAAGCAGAACTGAGTTTTCTTGTAATGCCGGATACTAATATATGTATGTAATTACAAATAAATCGATGAACTAGGTCTAAATTATATTTTATATATTATTATTATTATATGATAATTTTTATTTCTATTTTAAAATATTCATGAAATATAAAAACGTTGCAAATTGTTACGCAATATTTTATTGTTTCCAAACAGTTATTCCTCCAATGTAACACCACTATTCTTGTCACATAGAGGAGAATAAATAAAAGATGATTCCTAACATTGGCCTAAATATTTTTTAAAATTTTTAATTTGCTGAGAAATATAGACAATGATCTCAATCGATGTAAGACTTTCAAAAAATCAAAAGCCACTAGATTACTCTGGTTGAAAGCAAATGTCTCATTATCAATGACATGGCTTCTAGGCTTTTACCGCGCAAGATTTGCATGGTTAAGTCCCTAGGGAGGATGGAAAGTGAAAATAGTGTGGTGCACACGCCGCACAAGATTTGGTGAGATTTTTCAACAGTGTTCCTTTTCCTAATTAATATCGATTAATTAGTATTACTAATTTAACACCCCAACTTATAATGACTTAATAACAAGGATAAATCACAAGTTAAAATTTTATTTGAAACTAATATTTTTTTTTTATAACTTTATTTTTATATCCGCACCTGCCTAATAAATAATTGACAATCAGTGGGTTGTTAAACTAATGTATGAAATAATATATATCATTTAGTATTACAATAACGACTATTTGTTTAAGTCCTTCGAATTTTCTTTGTTTGAACTTGATTATACTTTTTCAATTGTTTTTAATGGAAGTTAGTCATCTATGATCTTGATCATCACTTAGAAAGGCTCGGAACACTTGATACTTCTCTATTCCTTTTGTCGCAAACTCATGACAGAAGGAAATTAGTAAAAATATTAATGGAAATAACAGAAGTAATTCTACGTTTTTGTTTTAATCTGTTGTTTGCACTATCGAAATTGACTCTTATCTAATTGTAAATTTGATAACTTCAAGTAACAAGTAAAAATACGCCACTTTAAATTAACAGATTGCAGGTGTCGATCAAACCCAATCGATCTAATAAAAATATACATAGTAATTTTATTAATATATATATTTCTATATTGTTAGTTAGGACTTAACTTTATTTGTAATAATAAAAACACACATTAGATCTCAATAATAGTAATAATAATAATACAAATATAAAATTATCTATTATTATGATGAGTATTTATCATACCCCTTCCCCCGAAATATATTTTAATAACATTGAAATTCCTGCATCCGTTGTAATTAAATATTTTGGTTTATACCAGGACAAAAGACTAACTTGGAGAGCACACATTAGACAAAAACGTATGGAATTAAACAGGCGATACGGTCTTTTATCTAGGTTACTTGACAGACGTTCAAAATTAACTTTGACTAACAAACTAACTCTCTATGAAGTTTTATTGAAACCAATTTGGACACATGGCATAGAACTGTGGGGTTTTGCTAAAACTTCCAATATTAAAAAATCCAGTCTTTCCAATCCAAAATTTTTCGAAGGATAGTTCATGAAATATTTTATGTCGCAAACGATAGATTACAGAAAGATTTGAACATCTCAACAATGTTAGATACTGCAAAAGAAAACTACAATAACTTTAACCAAAGACTGACTTACAACATAAATCCTCTGACAGAAAACCTTAAACGCACTAGAAACCCGTACAGCCCACCTCGACGATTACGTAGGCGGTAGCCAAGAGACCTGCTGAACTGAACTATTTCCTGCATGTGTGATGGAACGCTGTGAAGCTGCCAACAAATTTGCTCATTGCAAAGTAATTTGCTGATCGTAAATTTAATTTTATGTCCAATTTTATGTTTATGTATTAATAAAAAAAAATCATGATTGAAGGCTTTAATCAATTAAGTATTGTGACAAGGGCAATTGAACCCATATGATTTTATTTTTATATCGAAATAAGATTTCTTCCTTTTAAAATGGCCAAAGGGCTAAAACGTTGGGTTTAAACAAAAATGGAGTACGATTATTTGGACAATAATTTTTAAAAATTGGTCATTTAATCTAAAAGTCATAACAAAAATAAAATTGTAAGTTTTTTTACAACACTTAGTTACAGAAATGTCATTTAACCCATTTAATTTTTTATTTATTATATTTTTAATACACTTGAAACGGTATTAATAATCTTTAATTAATACATATATGAGCCGAAACGAATACTGGAAAGATGGAAGGAATACTTTAGAGAGTTACTGAATGGGAATAATTGGAGCGAAGAAATGGAAGATTCCCAGGAGATAAATGGGGATGGTGTGGAACTGCAACAAGCAGAAGATGGCCCGGTAGAAAAAGAGGAAATGTATGACGCACTAGATATGATGAAGCAAGGAAAGCCAGCAGGACGTGATGGACAGAATTACTCTTCAGAATATTAGAATTGTCCTGAAAAGATAAGGAGATTCCGAAAGACTG